TAGTTAAATATAACGAGCACTAATTAAATAATTTGATTAAAAATATATAATGTGGGAAAACGTCCCTCCAGATAGCAATCAAGTTTGCTTAGCGTAACTAACTTAACTTACATACCGGCACTATCCAAAATCTCATACACAAGATACATCAACTACAGCACATAATTACCGTCAAAATCTATTGTACATTTATCCATTGCTAAAACTACTAACTACTTAATCATTTTCGAGCTACTTGGGCCCATAGGGCTGGAGCTTATCCCCAGTTTCTGTATTGTGAAGCGGATGAGAGTGGTACTCCCCCTGGACGGGACACTATTGATACAGCTGGGTGGACTGAAGTAATGTAGCTAAAGTGCCTTGCAAGCAAGGACACAAGCGAATTTGCACAGCGGAGACTCTAAACTCCAAACTTACGATTGACAGCCCAAACGTTATCCGCTGCGCCAAACTGCCGCTATATTTATCCATTACGCCTTTCTTTTTAGTCATTACTCAATGTGAATAAACAGTTCCTACTTTGGTAAGACTCTTTATTGGTGACAAATATTACAATATCGGCTTGGAAAAAAAAACCCGTTTTAGCCTAGATTATCGATATTTCTCTCTCTCCTACTGATGACATTATTTGTATATGCCTTAAAGTCAAATTTACTAAATATTATTGACCAAAGTTAGTAATGCTTGAAATAACGAAGAACACCTGTTGACTATTGTATTCTCTAAAACTGGCTGACAGAAAATTGCATCGTCAGCAAAATGCATTTCCAAAAATCAGTAAACAACCAATTAGAAGCGTTGTATTACTTAATTAATAACGTCAAGCTTAACAGCTATACTTTTAGCCAATCGAATTGCTGCCTATCTTTCACCGTTCGGTATATATTCTAATGCCAATCGCAGCTGTAATAGAACCCGGTGCTGATATTTAACTGGGATTCTAGTCCTTACGAGGTAAATTTACAGTGAAGATTATTTCGCTGAAGAGAATTTATTTTGTATAGGAATTCGCCAGCACCGACAAAAGAAACGCTTTTGAAGCGTCAATTATGGCGCGAACCATGTCGATAGTGAATATAGCAGCTTTTGTCTGCTTGATAGCACTAACAAGGTAAGATCCTCATACATCTTCTGATGGCCATTTATATTATTACTATTAGTGTTATTATTATGGATTGGTATTATAAAGAAATTATATATATTTCTTTATTATTTAAATAGCATTGGTAGGTAGTCCCACATTTCCCTCTCTTAACCGCAATATACTTATGTTCAATATTGATGGCATAAAGGTCTGCCCGCCGAGGAGGGGCTGAATCTTCCGACGTACGTGGTGGCTATGTGAGAGTTGCCAGCATATAAGCAGTCAGGTCGGTTGTACGTAATGCTCGGTGCCACAGAGATTACACACAAGATAGAAGAAAGAACACACGGTGGCGTCGAGAGCCAGTAAGGGCCCGCATACATGAATATGATTCCATGTGATTATTTTTTTTGCAAAGACGCCCATAAACCATAATGTAGAGTTTGTTCTGACAACAAAAGTTTTAATCCTGGCTTGGGCTCGGGCCCTATGGAGGTTTTGCTCTTACCCCGAAATTGTTTCATCTTGGTCCGGGCCCCCCAGTAGACCCGGGCCCCGGGGCAGCGACCCCCTGACCCCCTCTCGACGCTGAAAGGCTGTAGCATTTTCTTCATTATTTCGGACTAGGCATACTTAGGCCTATATTTCATTTTGTAGTGGAGCCCTGCTGTGGGACGTGGGACACTCTTGGGTCGGGAATTGATATGTATAAAATACGTGTTGTCATGTGAGTCCACGTAGGACATTCCAAGACCAGGAGTTACATTGTTATAATTTGGGTGTCTTCTACTGAACCGTAATGCCAAGGCTCTGATAGCTAACTGTGTATTAGTACAGTTGGTGAAAGGGGCGGGGGGCTCCGGGTTCCCTTGGAGTGAGGGCCCGGGGCTTCGTCCCCCGAGAGCCAATAGGATTTACACCACTTATGTGAATTCGTACTACTCTTGTCGATTAGTCGCTGCGACGCAGGCCTATATTTAAAATATAATTTCTAATTGATGCGGCTTTTTGATATTTACTGTTTACTTCCGATCTAAGGCGCCGCGTAACTTTATTCAAGAAGTGCCGCGACGCTTATTTGAGAGTGGTGCTTAGCGAGAAACCATCTGGGGTTTTTTTTTTCCTTTTTTGTGCGGCGCTTCTTTTTCTGTAACAGAATATAATTTATATATGCCTATTGGAAATAGAAAAATCAAATCAAGTGACAATTAGATAATGCGTATGCACCATTTAACACGGAATACCACTCACGATAAAAAAAAAAAAGTGTTCATGTGTTCAGTAGCTTTTCCCCTAGCTCCTAAGAGCAGCTATCCCCTTGGGTTCTTCTGCCCATCATTTGGCCCACGAGTATTGAATCATATGTATCACAATTGCATAGAAGATGAATAGCATAATTTATTATGGTATTTCAGACACGACAGTCAGTCAATTCAGAAGGTTATCCACTTACGGGCCAAATAGGCCTACGCTAATATTTCCTTTTGTTTTTTTTTTATATAGAGCTCAGGATACGTCCCATTTTTGTACAAAAATTGAGAATCGAGAAGAACCATACAACGAAACTGTGTACTTCACTAAGTATGTCACTGTTACTATTAACTGTGACGAAAGCCTGGACGGTGACGTTTATGTCAGCGATTCGGGAGGTAACCAGTGTTTGTACAAAAGGTAGGTCTATGCTGTTCGATTATGATCTTTATCATGGTTGGGTTAGGCCTATTGGCCTACTCTACAAGTTTATCCTTCAGATTCACTGCAGGTATTTTGTATATCTGCGTACTGAAATACATGGGTTGTGGGTAAAGTTATTTCTTACAATATGAAAATTATGTTTTTGGAAGAAAAGCAGTAATACCTCGGCAGAGAAGTGAAGCCTGAAGGGGTGGGGAATTCTACAGCAAGTGTTTGAAATTTCCTGTTAGCTGGTAGGGAGGATTTCTCCTGCAAGGGCAGAGAACCGTTTTTCTCGGGGATAAGGAATTGCGTAACATAAATAAGAAATTTTCTGGCAGGATTGAATTTTATAGTATTGGCGTGGGTTATTCAACATGCACGAGTGGAGAATTATCCCCAGGGGTACAGTATTTACCACATAATGGTAAGTCAATTTTTTCCGGCAAGGGAATTCCGTTTATTTCCATAAAATAATTACCGTACCTATTGCTGCAAAAATATTTTCATGCTTTCACTATAAAATTTCATTAAAAATAGTTACATAAAATGTGATGGAACATAAGAGTTGAACAACGTTCAAATTTTGATACAATTTGATAATATGTGATATGACGTCATCGTATCCATATATTGGCACATCACATTTTTTGTCATTTAAAATTTGATAGGGTAGACAAAGCTTATTGCACCACCCTTGTCGGGAGATACACACTCCTGTCGGGAATTCCACTTCTGGGGAATTATCCCACAACTGCTGAACATTAGACCTTTCTACCGAGAAATTACCAACCTTTTCTGAGTTGGTACTTTTTCGTTTATCAAAGAGTACTGATTTATTCTCTTCAAATCAGTGTATCAGAGCATGGAGGTAAAATGGTCTGAGGTTAGACCTAATCATGAATATTACTATCTACCTCTGTTGAGGCTTTGTAAAAAAGTATCTACAATTGGTAATGATGATTTGATTCCCTTTGATAAAAAAAGGTATGTGGAAGTCCCACAAATAGTGGGGAAAACCAGGGTAGTGCAGGTAACCACAGAAGTATGCTGCGAAGGATGGGAAGGCGTTAATTGCAATCAAGGTAACACCGTTTCTAATTACATTTCTTTAGTTCAGTTAAGTATCTCATTAGATTGAAATTATTCTTTTTTTCATAAATCAGTCCTATGCAATATGAACTTATGTTATCTTTATTTGCTGCTTGGATAAAAATAATGTTATAATGGAACAGATTTAAATTACATTTTGTACATAAGTGCGTCATGCCATATGAAATTATGTATTATGAGTTGTTTCTTGGTTTAAAAAAATTGAAAAGAGGGAAACTGAAAATTGATAATAAGACATATAGAAATAACATATTTCAAGTACAAAATCTACTAAATATATACTTTTGACTTCTCATCCCAAATGTTAGATTAATATCAATTATTAGTAATACTAGCCTTTTCACCGATCATCCGCGTATAGGAATGAATACATTTTAGGTTATTTGGAAGGTAAATTTTGTGATCGTTCTGGGAAATGTACACTAGGCCTACTATTGAATTGATATTTGTTTATGTTTTACTATTTTCTTAGTTTTACAAGCTCAGTTTGTTAATTGAAGGTGTGTGCCCGTGTTCAGTGGCGGCACCAGGACTCGCGGGGAGGGGGGCCTGATGTCCACGACGAAAAAAAAAGTGAGCGTGGTCTGGCGTCGCTGAAAATCCTGCCGAAAGTGGTCCAGGGAGGGTTGTAGCTCCTAGTCCTCCCCCCCCCCCCCCCCCCCGTAGTGCTGCCACTCCCCGTGTTTACTTTCTAAAGTGGATATGTGCGCTATGTAAATCGTATTTATTATTATTAATATTATTATTATTATTATTATTACTGTTATTATTATTATTATTATTATTATTATTATTTAAAAAAATAATATTAACGTTGGTACTATAAACGACATACGGTAACTTTTTAGCTCTTTGTAAATAAGCACTGCTTTTCAACACTATGTATATACAAACTACGGTGCTTATTAGGTCATTTTAGGTATTGTATTTATATATTGAATATAATTTACAATTATAAATAAACATATATGTATATTTGGACAGCCGTTTGCAGCATATCCTGTCAGAATGGAGGCACATGTGTAAATCCAAACACATGTGACTGTACAAGTACCGGCTACAGTGGCAGTTACTGCGAATTACGTAAGTAACAATTTTAAAGTTTGCTTTTTAATAATAAAAGTTATTTATGTCGCCAGAGGCCGGACGAAACAAAATAC